GCCTCCCTGGGCAGCCTGTTCCAGGGCCTAACCACTCTCCTAGTAAAGAACTTCCCCCTAACATCCAACCTAAATCTTCCCTCCTTCAACTTGTATCCATTTCCCCTAGTCCTGCTATTGTCGGCCCTTTCAAAGAGTTTACTCCCCTCCTGGGTGTAGATTCCCTTCAGGTATTGAAAGGCTGCAATGAGGTCACCCCGCAGCCTTCTCTTCCCCAGGCTGAACAAGCCTAACTCCCTCAGCCTGTCCTCATAGGGGAGGTGCTCCAGCCCCCTGATCGTCTTCGTGGCCCTCCTCTGGACCCTCTCCAAAATCTCTATGTCTTTCTTGTACTGAGGGCTCCACACCTGGACACAGTACTCCAGATGGGGCCTCGCAAGAGCCGAGTAGAGAGGGACAATCACCTCCCTATCCCTGCTGACCACCCCTCTCCTGATGGAGCCCAGGATCCCATTTGCTTTCCGAGCTGCCAGAGCGCACTGCTGGCTCATGTTAAGTCTCTCGTCCATCAGGATCCCCAGGTCCTGCAGCAGATATGTCAGAATTGCTGACTAGATCAGATATACTTCTAGTTAATAGTTGTCTAGTTAATAGTTGTTTAGACTTCTGGATGAGGTGTTTTCGTGTGAAGTGTCTCTACTGAATCAGTGTAGCAGTTTGCAAAAGGGAAAACTATACAGGGCAGAGAACAGAATAGTTTGCTAAACATGAAATGCATTTGTTGTGATTTTAGGAATGATGGTCTGAAGAGGTTTCCTTTTGTCAGGTTATAAAATAAATTAGAAATTTGGCTCTGAAAGGTTATTAAAAAAAATATACAGGGCTAACTACTAAGCAGCACAAATGCCTTACCATTCTTTAGTGTCATGAAACCATTCTCTGGGCAGTGTACATGTGTTTTTCCTTCTTCCACTTATTTCCAATTAGCTGCTTCACAGGGATATCTGTTTTTAAACAAGCTGTAAAATCTTTTGTTGTGGTGGCTGTAACCATCTACTGTATTAATTTGCAATCTCACTTTTACTTGATTGACCTGGAAATAGGATAATATAACTACTTTTCTTCCTAGTTAGGTGGTGGAGGATGCAAGAAGGGAAAGGGATTCTGGGCTTACTAACACTGACCTGGTCTTAGCAGACTTCAGAATTAAACCTGCCTTGGGTTTCCGCCCTTGTAATATGTGCATCTTTGCACAATTCAATTATTTGAACATTCCGAGTTAAATAACAGGTTAAAAAAATCAGATAAACTGTGGAAATGTAGTAAAATGAGAGTCAATCACTTTGTAGTGGGATGCTCTATGAAGAGACCTCATAAAAAACATGTGGCATGCGGTGCAACATCTGATTTATATAATTTTGAGGTCACCTCCTTATTTGGCTCCTGAATTAAATTATTTGATCAGGGCAGGCAGCCTCCCCTTTCACAGGAATGCAGGTTACTTTCTACAGCTGTTCCAGTTGGCCATGTTTTGTACTTGTGTCAGCCTTCCACAAAGATGGCTGGTGACATTAAGCATGGTGCAAGGAAATACTGTCACTGGAACATAGAAAAGTCAGTTACTACAATAAAAGTATGCAAAATTTGCTGTATTTTAGGGCTAAATTTTGCTTTTCAACTGTGCACACAACAACCTTCTAAAAGTCACAGCCAGAAGGGGAAATGCAAGCCACTTGTGATCTGGAAACACCATCTCCTTCCCATACTGGGAGAGTTGTCCTTCAGCAAGGCTTTCCCATCCTAAGCTGGTGAGTCAAAAAGGTGATTGTTGTCAGGATGAACCAGCCTCGTCCCTGTATTATGCTCATTTCTGGCTTGAATAAGGCATGTGTGCTCATGAGTGTAAGCTGGTGTTAAGTGGTGTTATGGTAGTACATAGATGATTATCCTAATGGCTAAGGATCTCGGGCATGGGAAGAAGGATATGCTGGGATTTTGTTCCCCACTTATTTACAGGGCCTGGTCCAAAGTCACTGACATGGATTTATTCCATGGTCTCTGACTAGAACCAGTATTTCTAGGTGTCCTAGAAGTAAATGGTTTGATGAATTTATAAATAAATTATTTCACTTCTCAAAAGTGTGTTTATTAGTGTCCCTATAAAGCTGAACTTGCATCCCAATTGCTCTGTCAAGTTCACGTTGAAGTACTTGCCTACTGTCTATACATGGCTTTCTGAGAATTTTGATGAAAGACAAAAGAGATGTAGCTGTGTTGTAAGAGTATGAAAAGTAAAACCAGGATAAGCTTGTAAAAGAAAGATTGCATTTGTAAGCTTAAAATCTGTTGAACTCCTCCAGAGCGCAGTACAATACAAACCCCCTTGTTCAAGGTCTGTTAGTTAAGTGAACCACAGCACTGTCATGATCCATCAAACCTGCCAGATAAAGAGAGGCTATTTTCAAATTTCTCCTTCAGGGCATGGGGAAGTACTGTTCTTGCAAAGACAGAAATTTATGATGATGCTAAAAAAAATGCAGATGAAGTGAATAATTAATGAATTCAAGACAGGACTGAAATATCTTCCTAAAATGTTGCTATTTTTAGCAGAGAGTGCTTCTGCAGTGCTTGTCATGTGATCCTATTGCCTTCTGAGAGCAGGAAAACAATCTCTTTCCCCATGGACCTATAGGTCCAGCATATAATACCTGTTAGCATCTGCTTCTGCCTTAAAGCAAACAAAACTATTTTAAACCTCATGCAAAATAAAACACTAATGAAAGCTATACTTAAAGACAATCTTTATAGCAGCTGAATAATTTTTATAATAGGTTGTAGGCTGAGGCTGTACAAGGGGGCTACTTTTAGCTGGTGCTGAGGTCCAGTAATATTCATTACTGCTGCAGCTTCTAGCTGTCAAAGGACCTAGAGACAATTATCAATAGGAAATTGCAGGGGCTGGACCACAGATAAAGATTCTAATATAAACAGATTTGTGCTTCTTTTCCCTGTAACCAGTATGGAGTGTTGCTGTGTTTGAGCTACTTTGCACAACAAAAATGTTATAGTCAGAAACACCTCTAAAATTAACTGTTATATACAGCCAGCCTGCAGACGTGCTCGCGTTTCTGCACATGCTGCTCAGCTGGACCTCAGCTGGGGAGGAAAGTCTTTTGGTCAAACTGCAGAAGAGGGTGCGAGAGATGGGGCTGCCTTCTTCTCCACCACAGGCTGCTCCTGCAACTGTGCAAGCTGCAGCCACCCAGGTCCATGTAGGGACATGGCCACTGCTGAGGGAATACACAAGTGTTTTAATGTCCCACACCCAGCCCTGTAGTGGATTTCTCCTTCCTGAGGGGTGAAGAGGTTCCCAACGCCCATCAGAGAGAAAGTCAGAAGGTGCTTGCTTGCTGCCTTTCTTGCCTATTGGAGTTGCCACAGGTTGAATTTAGAAGAAGCCTCCAAATCCCAAACTGAGGAGGCACTGAGGAGGACGCTGGCTTTGCAGCCCAGTACTCACTTCCTAAGGGTGTAGAGGGGTGCTGGGTTGCTCTCCCCGTGTGTGAAGGTTCGTGGGTGACTCCTGCAAGGTGTGTACCTGGGACCTGGCTGGCACCCTGGTCCCCAACCCCGGTGGGCTGCAGAGCTCCACCCTGGGAGCAGCGTGCTTGCCATGCAAAGCAGCAGGGAAACATCTGGGCTGGAGCATTTTGCTTTGGGGAAGAGTTGTGAGCTGAGTCCTGAGCAGCAGAGGTGGCCCCAAAAGGCACCTGCAGCCCTGGAGCAAGCTGCAAGCTTCAGTGATGGTGGGTTTTGGGAAGCTCCTGGATTAAGCCACAGATCTGGCTTCCTGGGGGCCACTGGTGCTTGAGCTGTGGCTCCTTAGTTGTGTTCAGGTACACATTTGTGGCTTAGGTGCTGTAAATGCTTTGCTGCGTCTGGGCCTTGGTCTCTTTTCCCTTCTCTGCATCTGTCTAAAAGGACGGTTTTAATGCCTATGTGCACTACATGTCTGTGTTGTGTGGAGTTTTGTAATAATTAGCAATTGACCCTCAGCTGGAAGCTGAGTTTGGTAGATGAGAGTACTACTCAAGTGAGAAGTCTTGTTATGAAAAAAATATTAGATTATCATTATTATATTTTTGTGCCTGAAAAGACTATTTCCAGGCTTATTTTTCCTAGATTTCCATCAGCTCTACCATGCTAGAGCCCACCACTTTTTTTCCAGTCTTCTTCCTCAGTCACTTGTGTGAATCCTCCCTAAAATGAATCTGGTTGTCAGGTGGCTGCTTTTTAAGCAAACCCCATCTGTTTAGACCAAAAGGATGTAGAGGGTGGGTGAACTGGAAGGAATGGGAGCCTGTGGCAGGGGGATCTGATGAATGCTTGATGTCTTCGGTGGGTCCCATCAGCAGGACAGGACACAAGGATGACACGGTAAAGCAAGCCTGGAGGAGTTCCCTTGCCTAACTTCATCTCAGTACGTGTGTTTTGGGCTCCTGCTTGAAGCTGTCTTGTGTTGTGGTTCTGTGATGCAAATAATAAACCAAATGAAGGGTAGTAAGTTGTATCTTTTTAAATAAATGAAATACATTGAGATCTCCATGCAATGAAAGGACATAGAAATTTTAAGGCCCTAAATTGTATTACAGCCCTGCAAACCGGTTCTAGTTTTCTTTATTTATGTCTGGTTTTTAGAATGCTTGCACTCACAATTGAAGCAATTATTTATACAAGTCCACTAATGTGTTGTGAGCTGCTTGGGAACGATCAGAAATTAAAATATCTGTTTTCAGTTTTGTTGTTGCTGTTTTGATTGGGACAATGAGGCTTTTGGAGAATCGCTTTTGCTTCACCTAGAGTTATCCACCCTCTTGACTGCTTTATGAAATACCCAGCAAAAGCTGGGTATTTACTTAGCTAAAACTGGGAATATTCAAATGGTTCATTTTGTGAATTGAGCAAGGAGGTACTGATTTCAAGCAGTGAAAATAGTAATTATTTTAAAAATAGCTTATTTTTGTGTCTATCTCCTTACTGCTTTTTCTTTTCTTTCATAGGAAAAATTAACCCAGGAGTGTGTATTCAGAGAGCAGTTTGAAGAAAACTGGTATAACACATATTCATCAAATCTATATAAACACGTGGACACTGGAAGACGATACTACGTTGCGTTAAATAAGGATGGGACTCCAAGAGAAGGGACTAGGACTAAACGGCATCAAAAATTTACACATTTTTTACCTAGACCAGTGGACCCTGAAAAAGTACCGGAACTATATAAGGATATTTTAAGCCAAAGTTGACAAAGACAATTCCTTCACTTGAGCCCTTAAAAAGTAACCACTATAAAGGTTTCATGCGGTGGGTTCTTATTGATTAGCTGTGTCATCACATCAGCTCCACTGTTGCCAAACTTTGTCGCATGCATAATGTATGATGGAGACTTGGATGGAACATGCTGATTTTGTTCTGCACTTAAAGGTTTGTCCTCCTGGAGGAGAGCCTACACCCACTCGCTTGATTTAGTACGAGAGGGAGAGCGAGAGAGTGAGTGCAAGAGAGAGAGAAAGAGAGAGGATGAATGGGAGTGAGAGCGCAAAAGAGAGGAGCCAAGGGGAGGAGGAGGAGAAGGAGGAAGGCCTGATGCATGCTGGGGAATAGACATGCTTTTAAATTTTTGATCAGTTGTACTTCATCATGTATCAGCATACCTGCCATACTTTGATTCATCAGGATTTTGGCTGGTGGCCTGCTCAAGTGTACACTGCATTTACAAAGGCATGGAGGGTGCAGTCTTACTTAAACAAGAGACTTTTCAGTTAATTGCTCTCTGGGTCTCACCCCACTGAGTTTAAAGCAAAGACTTCTTAGTAAAAAAGTAAAAATAAAAAGTT